TGATGCGCCGGCAGCTGGCTTGGTTGATCAAAAACAACCAGAAGCTGCACGAACGGTTGGGCACTATGGAACTGATGGCAGCCGTTAGACGCCTAAGTAACACCAAAGAAGATTTCAATTAAGACAACCCGCGGCTTCAAGACCCCGAATATCCCCGAAAGTTGATAAGGTCTAAATATTTATTACCGACCGATTATAGATAACCTTCTTGGATTGCGTGGGTAGGCATAATACGGACGTTTTCGATGACGAGTTGACCGTTAACGTCAACTTCAAGGGCAAAAAGATTAAAGAAGGGCTCCGCAGTTTACCAATTTAAGAGGTGATAAGATGTATGTTATACGAGAAACGTTCTAACCACTTGCACAATAGAGATCTATGCCACCTGTAACAAGGGTGGCATAGTAGATGTATGCCAATTAGAAGTGACGTTTACGAGGCGCCGGGGTAAGCTGGATACAACTATGGACGAGCTTGATGGTTAGAGCTACTTCTGTTTTACCATAAGTCCTTCACTGCCAAAAGTGCGTTTACTTGGGTTGAGACGCAGACCTGCGTCCTACAAGACCGCCAATGGCGCCATAATTGCCAGTTTATGTTCGTCGACCAACTTGCCGAAGATAGTCGCAGCATCTTTTCGGTGACGAAGGGACGAGTTTCGAGAATTCCTGGACGTCGACTAGACATCAGACCGGCTAGGACTAGACAGTCTTTAGACGCTCTATAGGGGAGTAATTCCGAAGACGGAGATCGATCTCCGTCTCTGACTAGTATGATCGCTGGAACAAGAGCTTATTAACCTGAAATTTAGGATTTTCACTCGACTCGATCGGAGACAAAGTAAGACAAAGAGTAAATAATTAACTAAGTTTGCAATTTATCTATAAAAAATGCACGAAAAAAGTAGTAAGAAAGATAACACGAATAGAACAAATGTTCCATTCAACTTGCTCTTCAAGCTCCAGTTATTTCAAAATGTGGTGTCTTTCTGTACACGAGGTCAGTTCGCGGCCTGGTAAAGACATTTCGAAGAACGGAAAAAGAAAGCAGAAACCCGAATATGTTTTAGGGTGTGATTGCCCGACGAACTTTCCTGCACTGATTTTTAGTGTAGAAAGCGCAAAGGAATATTATAACGGATAAGCGAAGAATGCATTCCGAGATGAAATAATGAAAAGGTAGACATTCTTAGGAAAATCGAGTTTTACTCGTGAATTTTCGAGCAGTTATTACTTTCCCGTCGTCAGACTAAATGAAAGGTGGGGAATGGGATTGTGGCAGTAGAGCGCTTGGTGGGGGACGAACGTTCACAGTGAGGAGAAGCGGATAGATCAGTCATGTTAAATGTTTGTGTGAGGGGAGAAATGTCGATATGGTCGGATATGGTCACGCGTTGGGAAGATACCGTATTTTTGCATTTCTTCTCGGCCGGGTATTCATACGCGACTGTTGTGGGTGCGAGTCAGAGAGACGTGTATGCAAACCATCGTAGTATGAATGGAGATCCGGTGTCTGTTAACCCTGCAGGGTTAACATGCTAGCACAATACCCGGATTGGACGGGGGTGGCGACGGGGGAATACGGG